AGAAGTAAAAGGGAAGTGGAGTAGAAGCGAAGTGAAGACGGCATGGGTTCAATAGAGGTAAGAAAAAAAAGCCTCTGTACAGGAAAATTCCACGGTAGGGCTTGAGAAAAGAAGTACATAATCATTAAGGGTTAAACCTGAGAGATAAGGCGAAAGCTTCTTGTGCTAATGCATGTCTTATCTGCCTGGCTTAGTACAGAGAGGTCCACCACTTGCTTCCAATTTTCCTTAACCGTCCCTTACTTCATCCTAACCAAAAACCCTTAGAGTGCAAGGAAAAAGTAAAGCATAAATTCGAATTAATTTAAGTTCAATTCTATTCTTTTGTTTTATTTTGCCTTTAACGCTTTGCACAGGGCACAGTTTCGGACGTTATATACCAGCAACTCGACGCACAGTGGGGTTCCAAACCCGATCTTTTTGGTAATAATTCTGTAACTCCACTATATTTTATCAGATTTTCTTTTTATTTTGTTCTATAGCATCAATAATAAATATAATCCATTATCTGTATAATGAATATAAATATTATTAGGAATAAAATATGAAAATTCAAAAATAAACATAAAAAAACTTGATAAGTTTATTCTCCGTAATTCCTAATAAACTTTTATGTCCGCTCACAGGAGACAGCCAAATGCAAAGGGTTAAATATGACATCATAATAGAAATTTCTAATTATAACAACACGGAACAGTTTTATTTTAAATGTATTTAATATATATCATATAAAACTTGGATATTTCTCAATTTATAGTTAATTGTTTTGTTAAAGAGATGTTTTTGTATTAGAGAGAGGGGAGAGGGGTGGAAATACTTCATTTATAGATGTGCTGCCCTACTACATATGGTTACTCAATACAGCAGGATACTTATCAATTATTTTTGGACATAGCTCTTGATTATATATTAAAAAAAAAAACTAATTATTATGTCTTATAGAAAATCGACCTGTTTCTACAACATTGAAGTTATTGAATGAATGGTTGTGCATGATCATCTGAAATGTTGATACTGTTTAATGCAATCTTAAGAGAAGATTGTAAGATATTAATGTTTCGTTAAATTACATTTCTTTTTATAAGTGAGAAGTTCTTTAGGTGCGCTTAGCACTGTTTTTGTGGCTAGTGAATGATACTGAGTCGTCAGGCTCGGCTATGTAACGCTTATTCGTGTAAAGTCAGCTCGAGTTGACTTTTTTTATTTGCATTTGGATTAAAAACCTTTAGGACTCCACTAAACCATCGAATTTCTCTCGTACTCAATCCTTACAATCCGAAATCCTCAACGCTCCTAACTTTGTTACAAATACAATCATCCAAAATGACCTTAATGTTCCATATTCTTCCAATTCGGGCCAATACAGATACCTATCCTTCCATAACAAACGTCGGAATCATTCGAACCCTCTCATGTGAAACCTTGCTTCCTCCTCAATCCCTGATAACCCTTCGAGGCGTCTGAAAAGAAGGTTGCCTCGTGATCTTCTTGTGTAAATTTATTATTTGAGTGCTACCAGTTTTTCAGCTAGCGATTTCATGTTATAATATAGTTATAAATATCAATGAATAAAAACAATATATAAAAAAATAAAAATGGATTAAAATATCTCAGAAACTTAAATTCGGATCATACCGTGAGCTAGGGAAGTATTCAGCATTCCTTCGTCTTTGTAATCAGCTATTATTAAAAATTGTATCTTGACGCCGTGTTAGGGAGGCAAAAATGGAAAAATATTGTGTCAAGAACCAAATGATAACGAATTTCATACCAAATATTGTAATAATAAATATGGCATATGCATATACTGAAATAATGAGAATATGCGATCATCGGATATCATAAACCCATTGTTTCATTTAGAATAACTGTTTTTTTCCAATCCTTCAGGAATCCTTTAGTATTCTCTATCGCACAAACTAACAACAATCTTAAATTTATCCAGGTTACAAGCCATATAGGTATAACATGTAATGAACTGAAAAGAAGGATACTTCTTATTTCCAGTACCTGATATTAACACAGTACAGAACGATTACAATAAAGCAATATGGAAACTATGTATTGAGACTTAGCGTTATTCATGGAGCAAAGTTCCAAGTACCAATAAAATGAAGAAAATCTACGATGGCGCTGGTCCACTTCCACAGATTCAAGAAAATAGTAGGGTGAAAAGTGTTGCAACACGCCTGAGAATACGGCACACGAGGGTTACTCATGGCGAACCCCTCTAACCTTAGCAATTGCACATGGCACTGAAATATAACTAATAACTAAATAAATATATTTAGAATAACGATCAGACAGAGCAAAGTTTGCCAGAATAATTTAATATTTCATTTATAATTTAATATATTGTAAATGTTATTAATTTTTGTTTATAGAACAAAAATAATGTAAACATAATTGTGATTGTATATATTGTAAATGTTATTAATTTGGGAACATAGAACAAAGAAAATATCTATTTATGTTTCATATTAGTAATCCCGCCTTGTTGATGTTCTATCGTATGGTCTTAAACACACAACGTTTTTTTTTTCTATTTTATTTATTTATTTCCTTAATTATAATCGCAATTTACAAAGATCGAATTTCCTAATAGCGATTGAGCCGTAGAAGTTTCCGCTCCATCTTGTACACCCGCTTTGAGAAGGGAGAGGTGTTTTCCCGTTGGCTGGCCGCTGATACTTGCTTAGAACTGTTTTATTCACGTCATGTTGCCCGTGAAATTAGCTGTTACTCCCAATGCTATCTATATTTGAAATTGAGTGCCGCTTTTCCTGATTGATGCTGGGGTCCCCAAACCGTGAAACGTTGTTAAACAGTCCATTAAGCACCCCTTCACCGTCCTCAGTTAAACAAAGCGTGATTGTTCTCCAATCCATTTCGTGCATTTATAATTCAGAAAATAATTGATTAAACTGCCCATTTACAGAGCGTTTGAAGGATTTGTCGAATTCAATTTTTATTTAATGCTCTCTAATTCTTTATTTTTTAAAATATTTATTTATCGAATATTAAAACATCCTATCACTTGAACATTAATTATACTGAGGTAAGATCACATTGAAATTATGTGTACAAAAAATATAAAATAAACAGAAGCAAATAAATAATAATTAAAAAGTATACACAATAAATAAAATACGATAACCTAAAAATAGGAAAATTAGAAAAAAAAAATATACTTTTCTATTAAATACATAACTATGATTCCTTATTAAACAAATTTTGGTGAACTTCGTCATAAAATTTGTACTTACCATCCCATTTTCAGAAGAAATTATTTTATTTATTTAAGTTAATCAAGGTCAAGGATGCCACTTTAATTATAATTCCAAACTTACGACAATCCCCTCATCAGAATTTCACTGGGGTTTAGCGATTCGTATTCTAAGTTTTGCTTTTCTTTAATAATTAAATGAAGTCAATAAAATTTTATTATTTCGATATAGTGGGCAGGAAATGGTTTCCAGCAGTACAGAGCTCACCCTGAAGTACCTATCTTTATTAGTTCAAGATAACTTTCATTCGAAGGTTTTTTTTTTCGATATGCCATAGTTTCTTAAATATTTCATGAACTCATTGATTTTCATTATCTTGAGATTCATTGTCTCCTTCGTTGCTGAGAAATACGCACATACACCAGACAAAGCAAGATAAAAAGTTACTAAGGAATGAACGCACAGCTTATGTTGGATTAAACCCAACATAGTATGAAAGGTTTATAATTTACCAAATAAAGGAAAAAAGAATTATTGAAGTCGGACCGTTTTGAGCAAAGACACGGCCACTTGAATTTTGTTTATTAGCGAACTATCCTGAGCTAAGTTAAAAAGAGAACTGGCGTTCAGCGATCCCTTTGTATGTACTGCTTGGGATCATTGTGCTCTGCATGACTGTGGAAGTAGAATAGAACTTTACACAACTTTGCCGTCATATCGCTGACGACAATACTGTATCGCCAAAACGTTTCGCGTTCTTTGTGGACGGGCCCTTGAACTAAACCAAGCAACGACCCTTCTCATTGATTCGTTAAATGTTGAAAAAGGTTTCTGAATGCTGTGGTTTTAAAAATAATATGCCGTGTTCTTACCTGTATTATAACTTTCGCGATAAAAAAATAATTTTTTAACATCAATTTTTTGAACTTATCTATCAGAAGTACCGATAATTACTTCTGATTGTGCTGCCGGGAAATAAAATTTAGAGTAAGTCATTGGTAGGCGCCAGGATTAGGAGTGCCCAGCGGAGAGGAATCCTTTTCTATTTTTTAGAATTTAGTATTTATAATTAATGGAGGAAATCCCCCATCCAGCTTCTTGTGAGTCTCCCACGGGTGGCAAGAAAGAAAAGTAAATTTTATTCTTGGACATTCTGTCTCTTAAGAATAATTGCAATGGACAATTTAGTGACATTTGTCTGTCATAAGAAGATGATCAAGAATTAATTAAATTACGTGGTTATCGAGTCTTGGAAATAAAAATGATAGAAAGGTACAAATTAATATTTGAATTATAGATAGATATATATGAGCGTGGTCATATATAAACAATAGATAATATATATGCATCTATAAGATAACAGCAAAATGAGATTGACATCTCTAAAACGATATTATTGCTACATTACGGAAGTAAGAAGGGAATTCCAGAACAAGGTAGCACGTGTGAGAAACAATTTTTTTAAGGAAACAGTTGAGAAGGATGGCCATAATGAATACCGTGGAGTAACCACCACGGTATTCCTTCTGGCCATACCTTGAATCAGTGGCTTGGTATACCTGTGTGAGCTATTAAGAAATGTTTTATATTTCCTGTAGATCATTATGTAAAGCAATGTTGCCGACGTACTAGACGTTAGTTACAGCCCTGAATGTTTTTGATTGAAAAGTCTGTAGTTTACGCATGTGCTTTTTGGCTGTTCTGTATATCTGTGTGGACTAGATACAAGAAAACATAAATCTAAAAACTTTACCTGACTCATGTTAGATGTAGTATGAAAAGAGAAAGTGGTTCTCAAGTATCGACTTCTGGTTTCGTGAATATTAGAAGAAGGTCCACGGTGAGTCTAATCGGGCAATCGTTATTCCCGTTGGCTACTATTAATAGAGCATTTGTCCGAGCGTTTGCTCAGTTCCTTTCCCATCTTATCGCCTTGGATCGTCTTCGCCATGTTCCGAAATGTAGTGTCATTTATCGCGTTAGGGACTGAGTTGTTTTAATAATTTTTAAAAATTAGTGTTACGACAAAGAATCATAGTCTATATTTATTCGATAGTTAAGTAGTACATTTTTATTTTACTGTATTCACTAGTATTATTTAAGACTTCAGATTGGCAAAAGAAAATTCCATAGTGTCATAAATCCACTTTATTTGATAGGCATAACTAGAGAGTTGACGTTGCGAAAAACACTTTCCCATCGTCAGAACTGTCTATTTTTATCTAAAAATTAATGATAAATTGTTATCATTCTTTTTTTTTATTCATGATATTTACAATTGTATTAAAAAAAATACATCAAGTAAATTTGTACAAGTGGAGGGTCTTGTTTATATTAGACCCGCCAGTGATTTCTTAATGATATTTAGTAACAGTTGTTATGAAACTTTATACCATCGATATAGAAATAAAATCACATGTTTAAATATTATTTAATGTAATAATGTAATTTAATGTATTATGTAATTGCGGTTATAAAGTGATAACACGATGAATATTTTTGAAGTTTACTATTTATGCAAAAAAGATGAACCAGCCAGGATTTTCTTTGAAGAAACAGGAATTCTACCATTAAACATTTTAACATTTGGGTCTTATTAAAAGTATGTTAATGTTTTTGGTTATGTATAAAAAGTTCTTTTTAAATAAATGATATGTTTCTTTAACCCATACATTTTAATTTATCAATAAGTAACCGTTACTAGATAAAATAACTGGCGGGTCTAATCTAAACCAGACCCCAAATGGATATAATGGTATGAAAAAACTTGTTGAGAAACTACACATTGGCAGCACTCTAAATATGTCTATATTAGGATATCACGGGATCATCTTCTTTTCAGACGCTTCGTAGGGTTCTGAAGTATTGAAGAGGAAGCAAGTTTAGAACCGAGGGGATTGGGATAGTTCTGAATTTATTATGGAAGGATAGGTATCTGGATTGGGCCCAATCTGAAACATAAGGGGCATTAAGGTCATTATGGGTGGTTTTATATATAATAACGTAAGGAACTTTGAGGATTTTACGAAGGGTTTATGATTTTAAGTTAATTTAACCTGTTTTGTAGGTGTGTTCTTTTTGTCGCCTACTTTTTATTTTTGAATTCTTGTCCACTGTTTTCAAAAAAAATTATTGATAACATTAACGCTCGTCAGTAGCTACTAAGCAAAAAAGGAAATTGGTGGAGAAAAAAGTACTGAACTGTTTGCGATTGACTAATTATATATATATATAATTAGTCTATATATATATATATTTAAATTGTTTACGTAAAATTTAATATTTAATTTAAAATACATGATAAATTTTCATTCATGTAGCAATCAGGTGATCAGGTGAAAAGAAGGAAAACGAAATATGCAATATTTTGTCTTTTAAGGTCTGTACATAAACAGTGCGATATGTCTCGGCGATACGATATTCCTGTCGGCTGTGACACGGCGATGTAGTTTTATTACTATCTATTGAACTATACTAGTCACACAAAGCGCGATAATCCACAGAGTATCAGATCGCCGGAACATATCGCCTTCTGTGTGAATGAATATAATTATTGTTACTATTTCGAGAATACAAAGAGCTTGGTCAGTATCAACAACTATTATTTTGTTTTATCTTACTATTATTTATTTTCATTATCACTATTAATTATTATTATTTATTTTATATATATTGTTTATTTCTCTTTTTTATGTATCGTATGAACGATCGCTTGTAGCCGTAATAATTGTAGCCCCACTGTGGGGCAGATTGTATTATAGTAAACTTATACAGTGTTAACAGGGATTGCTGTAGCTCAGTGGGTAAGCATTGACTTCCAGTGCTCGTGGTGTCAGGTTCGAATCCGGCAGCTGACTAGTAATTCATCATTTTTCATCAGCCTTGGTTCGAACCTGGGACCGGAAGACCCTCCTGAGGCCAACCCAGCCTCAATAAAGTGTTAACTAATTAAATTGTTATTAATTTAATTTTATAAATAATTAAGGGGAGAAACCTGGCGGTTGAGCGTGATATTGGCCCGTTACCTCCCTCCACAACCGTTGCCCTTGTGACAATTTACTTCCTTTCTTTTAATTAACTTCCTCACATTATACTGAATCCCACAACCTTCATGGGTTGTTATTAGTACAGATTTTTTACAGTATCAACAGTAACTGAGCTTTTGGACGAATTATTTAATCACTCATTCATCATTTTATTTTGAGTAACATTAAGATTAATTTTTAATTAAATTTGCACCTGTGCATTCATTTAAAAAAAAAAGGTCCTTATTTACTATTGATCAGAACATGTTAGTTTTAAGTTTGTAGCCGGTAAAACACGAACGGCCTATAGTTTTATCTTGTAAGACATTGATGTAGAGTTATTTGCCTTAACGCCCGAAGAGCGGGTGTAAACATCTAATACTTGGCCAAGTATGCCCTTGTTAAGCCAAGACGCCTCAATTAAAACTTACCTCTTCATTAAAGCTCTCCCGGTTCGTCTTCAAGCCCCGCCTATCCTCTTCCTCCGCGTCGTATTTATGGTCCAGGTGTCTGATTGGAAGTTGTGGCCTGGCCAAGGCTGCTTTCAACTTCTCTGACGAAACTAATTTCATATTAATAATTGCAACGAAACTGATAGACAATATTCTGATAGAGTTATTTATATATATTTTTTTCTCTTCATATTTTCATTCCCATCTGTCACAATCTTGAAAAAACAGTTCTGTTGTTATTGTTAATAAATTGGTATTTTAGGCATAAAAAAGTATAGTAGGCAGCACAGCACCTCTTTCTGTTTTCTTCCTTAATTCAGGAAAGATTTCTCATCCAGCTGCTCTTTAATTGTAACTTGATGAGCATGCCAGCCGAAGCCATATCGTTAGTTTACAAATCGTTACTTCAATATACTTTAGTAAATCAATTTTACCAGCACTACAGCTTTATACGTTAGTATAGAATCAATACTGTTGATTATGCTTTTAATATTAATTATATACATTCTCCATACGGCCGAGTTTCTGGAAAACCTTCTGAATATAGGAAGAGTGAAGAGGATTATGGAAACCATAAAATGAGGGGATCTGATATGGTGCAGGAAAGCCTACCATAACCTCTCCATTTCCATTAACTTTTATTATATCCTTTCATTACGTTGCGATGGCTGTTTCTCGAGGTTATAGCCCCATCAAGGCTTTTTCGATGAGTTCCAGCCAATCTCTTCCCTTTTTTTTTCTTTTACTTTCCAAGTAATAAGCCTCGATAACGTCTCAGGTTAGGTCACCGTTAACTTCCTCTTATAATAAAAAAAAAAAAGATTAAAGTAAGAGTGTCCTGAGAGGTGGGCGGAACTGTTTAATTTTTCCTCTTAGTGATGTCAATATCGATTTTTATATTTTATAATATATAATATATATTTGAAAATATTTACTCAGTCAGTAAGGGGCTGTTTTCTCCTATTATATTACCTGCTATGTCCTGGATTCGAATCCGGCTACGGCAGATATTTATTTATTCTGGTACATCAGTTGTTGAGCAACTTGGTCGGAAAACCCTCTGGGCCACACCCAGCATTTTTAAAGTGGAGAATCTTAATCAATTAATTAATTAATTAATGCAACTTGAAACAGTATGATATAGATAGGAAAAATCATAAAAATGAATTTTAAATTTTAAAAAAAAATATATAATAGGGATAAGAACGTGAAATGTATTATTACTAATAATAATGATATATTTATATTTAAAATTAAAAATAATTAGAAAATGTTTTATTGTAACAATAGTTTTTTTAATATTGCAAAATACTTTTGAAGTTGATGAAACTGAGTGGAAGTTGATATAAAATGGTTTTTAGATAAAAAGGTCAGGAAGTAGGGTCTGAAATGTCGACCATGGAGTTGTGTAATAAGAGCACTAACATTTCACAAATAAAAAGTGAAAAAAAATGAGTATAATAAATTTATTATCATCATAGAGAATAGTAATTATCTTATAAACACACGAACTACAATAATTTGCATAAAGAGAAAGTTCTTACGATATAACGCTGTCGCAGTAGGAGGCAAAGAAATGAGCATGTTCAACCGCGACAGTAGATGAGATAAATGAGAATATGGTAAAAGATAAGAAAAGTAATGATAAGCTTTAATAAATATGTCTGTTTCTTACAAAGTAATGTTATTGATTAAAGTTGGGGGGGGGGAAGGGAGAGTGTAAAAGTGTTGTTCAAATGCTAGTGTAAGTATTGTTGTTTAGATCACAAAAGTACGTTTTTGTAAAATCACTAGTTTAGTATAATTGGATAATGTCTATTCATCCCTCTTTTCTAAATCTGCTGGTGTTCCTCAATTTAGTATCCTTGGTCCTATCCTTTACACATTTTATACAGCTGATATCCCAACCCATCCTAACACTGTCCTCACCACGTATGATGATGACACATTTGTTCTTTCAGTTCATAACAATCCATCAATAGCATCCCAAACTCTTCAAACACGCATCTTATACTTTGAAGAATGGTGTCAAAACAGGACGATTAAAATTAATCCCAATAAATTCCATCAAATCCCTTTTACCCTTCGTCGTAAACCTATGACTTCCTGTCCTACAGTATCCTTTAATAATACCCCACTTATCCCTGTTGAACTAATCCGGTACCTAGGACTCCAGCTGGACAAACGTCTCACTTGGAATCCTCATACCAGACTGAAACGACAAGAAAAAGCTGGACGTTTCCGCATACTCCAACACTTACTAGACAAACGATCTAAGCTTCCAATTAATTACAAAAGACTATGTGGACTTATGGAGTTGAGCCATGGAGCTCCACTAAACCATCGAATTCCAAAAGTCCAAAATCCTTCGTGAAATCCTTACTTTGTCACAAATAAAATAATCCATAAAAAACTTAATGTTCCATATGTTTCCGATTTAGCCCAATCCAGATACCTATCCTTCCATAATAAACTTCATAACCATCCAAATCCCCTTATTTCTAACCTTGCTT